CAAGATGAAGAAGTATTATAAGGACCCCATAAATCACAATGTATTAATTCAACAATTCTTGATGCTTTGTTGGTACTCAAAGGAAAATAATCTCTAGCCTGCTTTGCACGATGACAGACTTCACATGTTTATTCAAATGTTTCTTACAACTACTGATAAAAGGAAGTGATTTTAAGACCTTCTCAGAAGGATATCCCAAACGTTTATGCCATAGATCTACCGAAGAAGATCCCACAACCAAAACTGCTTGAACGTCTGACATCCGCTGAAAATAATAAATTACATCCCTTCTCTCACTCGTTCCAATCAACTCCCTTGAATGTAGGTCATTTATAGCGCACATGTTTGAAGAAAAATGGACAAAACAATTCATATCATCATCTAGTTGCAAAACCGAAATTAAATTGCAATGTACTTTTGGCACATAAAGAACATTATGAAGATGAATTTTGTTCGTCAGTTTTAAAGTGCCTTGCTTAGTTGCTACAACATTTTGTCCATCTGGAAGACCCACAGGACAAGCAATCACATCTTGAATATTGGTCAGAAAATAAATATTTCCCGTTACGTGATTAGAAGCACCAGTGTCAATTATCCAAGATGTATTATCAAACTCACCATTCAATCGATTTGTTTGAGTTTTAGGGTTATCAAAAGAAGCAACCAAGGCTTGCCACTGTGCGGCACTAAAACCAGAAGCAGCCTTACTTATCGAAGGCAAAGATAATGCATTGATCGGACTATTAGTGGTCGTTGCAGCTCTAGCATTTGCGCGAACCCCCTCGATCCCGACGATAAGCTGGTGGCTTTCCACGAGAACCATTGGAAATTTTAGTGTACAATTTCGGTGGCAGACCATATCACTGCTCCCACCAATTAGGGTAACCAATAACCAGGAAATAACTTTTAACATCATGGCCAGAGCGTTGCAGCGCGAATAAACCAAGCTTGACTTGTCGACTTTCTCAATACAGCCACGTCCACGACCATCTGTGCAAACAACAAACCCCATAATTTCTTAATTCTCATCCTTAAAACGAGTCACTCCAGGTATCCTTTCATCTTCAACAACCTGTTGGAATGCACAATTAAGGTTAGGCAAAGGATCTTGAGATAACAAAGTTGAGCGAATCTGATTGTAATATTCGAAGTCCAATCCTATCAAAAATTGGTGAAGTTGTTATTCCTCTAGTCTTTTTTTCGTGAGCCTTGCCAAGATTACATATACATTGACCACAATGACAACATAAGATAGTTCGTAATTACTCAGTTCATCCCAACGAACCTTCAATTTGCTATAATATGTCACAACTGACATCGATTTAGACTGTTCGCAACGAGAAATATCATTTTTAATTTTTGTATTCTTGGACCTTTGACAACCGCGAACCGTTCATTCAAATCATCCCACAGTAATTTTGCATTGTTGTAATTCGAAAGCATAGATCTTACCTCTGGATCAATTATATTCATAAGCCATGAAACAAGCATACACTGTATGCAAACCCAATCCTCCTTCGTGCATGGTAGTTGTATTTCAGTGATTGTACCACCAAGAAAATCAAACTTGCGCCGAGAAGACAAAGCCACTTGAACAACGTGTGCCCAATCATCAAAGTTATCAAGTCGGAGTCACACCGAAGTGATAAAATCTCTCGGACGATCTTGCGGACCTAAAAAAATGGCTATGTTGCATTAGTAATAGTCATTTTTAGTTGTTGGCTCTTGATACCATGATAATACTTGGAAAAGTCTATGTTTTATTGTTCTTCATAGAAAAATATATATATACAGTACCATTCGAATTAAAACAAGCAACTAAAAATTATGCCTTAAATATAATATATCACCAATATTGCAATGCAAGAAATCAATCTCTGTCAATTTCAACCAAATCCCTTAATGTATGCCGTAGTAAGAACTAAGACTATCTTGTTGAGATCAGGTTCAATAGGATTACCACAAAAATACCTTGGATCATTCGACAAATGGAGGAACCGAAAATAGACCATTATTTTTAAAATAACTCTGCATGTAAGCCGTCCCAACCAGGGGATTTGAGGGGAACCATGTCCATGGAAAAAATATGGTGGGAACGACGTTAATACTATGAAATAAGTGAGAAAAAATATGGTGGGAAAACTTTAAAAAGACGTCAGAAAGACATAAATATTATTTTTAGATTAATACAATGTTAATATTGACATTCACAATATATACATTCTAAAAAAGAGGTTGTGTCGGCTCTGATATGTAGTTCTCTGTGGTCTTTCAAAAACTTAATTTTTTTTGTGGTTCGTTTGCTGGTGCAATCAGTTTTATTCGTATCTATTTTAGTCTATTGGTTGGGTTTTTTTTAATATTTTCCATGTATGGTCCTTATATGATCTAAAATGGTTAGTTTCAATGTTATAGAAAAAGTTCAAATTATGTATTTAGTTTACGATGATAGTTGTAAACTCTTATTATAATTTCAGATATTTTCACTTTTTTAATAATACTAGCAACTTCTATTAAAAAAATTATCTTCCAAGTAATTCTCTTAAAAACGTTAAATGATTTAATTGTTTTCTTCATTCATTATTTATTTCATTCTAATCTAAAAACAAATTCTTTAATAATTCGTACGAACTATATTTTTTAGTGTAAAATATAGTAATGGTCACTGAACTTTTCTAAAGTTTTAATTTAGGTCCCTCAATTTTTAAAACTTGCAATGCAGTCCTCCAATATTTAGTCTGTTTGCAATATAATCCCTACCGTTACACTGCCGTTAGTATATTTGCAATATGGTCACTAAACTTTTTAGGCGCTTGTATTTAGGTCCCCCGACTTTTAAAACTTGCAACACAGTCCTCAATTTCATTCTAAACTCCAAATTCCTTTTCGATCTCGAATTTCCTTTTTCGCTCCTCTCTTCTCATTTCCAGCGTAACTTTTTCAGTAGGGGATGCATGGAAAATTCTAATCTAACTTAGAATTATGTGGAGGTGTTGACTTGAATAAGGGTTCATTGAGAGAAAACCCGACCAATGGACTATCGGGACCATCAACGATTCAAGGTGTAATGTTAGATACAAGTCATCTTAGGTGAAGCATAGATGTTCGATGAAATGCTTATGAGAAAAAAATGGGGTTAGAAATGTAGAGTTGATAAATACTACTAATATGAACTAAGTATCATTGTTGAAAGTCACAAACAAAGCTGGAATTATTTTGTATAAATGACATATAATAATTTCTTTGTTTGATCCTCGTGGTTAAAGATTTTCCAACAGATGAACAAATATAATGAAATCCCAAACAACACATTCACCCTTCAATCTTTTTTGCTCACATGCAGTCTCGTTTGGATTTTGTTCTTCAATTTTCTGCCATGTAAAATTGTAAACCCAAGCAGTGCTCTGTCTTTCAGCTTTTTATTTACAAAGAAAAAATGGAGGAAGAATTGCTGGAACGCAACACCGACTGCGTTTATTTATTAGCCTCTCCCCTCACTTACAAGAAGGTATTTATTTTATCTTTTAGGCTATCCGGAAGTTAGTTTTTCCTTCCCGTTTTCAGCTCGCTTGTGTGTTTTTTGTTGAAATTTTTATGGTTTTGGAACCGCATGTCAATGATCTGGATATTCAGTGTTAGTTTTGAACCAAAACCATCTAATTTTCTTTCGTTCTTCTTAATCAAAACTTTTAGTACTCCGTATGAAAGATATTCAGTCCATCGGAATAGAAATGAAAGAGGGTCTTAGGCTAAATTTTTTTGATCTTCTTATTTGGTTTTTCTTTAAATCAGGGAATTGATTGTGAGTATCGACATAGTGAAATTGCAAGGCTCAATCTGAGAGACTATTGGTTCTAGTTTACTAGGAATTGTATTGATTCAACCTATGGTTTTCGGCGTCTTGTGAGCTCGTATTCTTTTTAATAAGTTAATGTTGATTATGGGACTGATATATCGTGAACGAATTGGATCTTTTACATGTTTTGGAAATTTTACATTTGAATTTTATTGAATTATAGCTTTAGAAGACAATTATGCATGCACGCAACTCGAAAGACATCATGACAGGGTAATATATTTGGAGCAGCTACTTGACCCTGTCATGATGCCTTTCAAGTTGCGAAAGAGACTGAGAGGTGAATGCGCTGTTTGGGATTTCATTATATTTGATCATCTATTGGAAAATCTTTAACCACAAGGATTAAACGAAGAAATTATCATATGCCATTTATACAAAATAATTCCAGCTTTGTTGGTGACTTTCAACAATGATACTTAGTTCATCTTAGTAGTATTTATCAACTATGCATTTCTAACCCATTTTTTTCTCACAAGCATTTCGTCGAACATCTATGCTTCACATGAGATGACCTGTATCTAACATTACACCTTGAATCGTTGACTGTCCCAATAGTCCCTTCGTCGGGTCTTCTCTTAATATACCCTTATTCAAGTCAACACCTCCATATAATTCAAAGTTAGATTAGAATTTTTTATGCATCCACAACTGAAAAGTTATGACAGAAATGAGAAGAGAGGAGTGAAAAATGAAATTTGAGATCGAAAAAGAATTTGGGGTTTATAATGAAATTGAGGACTGTGTTGTAAGTTTTAAAAGTTGGGGGACCTAAATGCAAGTACCTGAAAAGTTTAGTGACCATATTACAAACGTACTAACGATAGTGTAACGACGGGGACCATATTGCAAACGAACTAAATATTAGAGGACTGTATTGTAAGTTTTAAAAATTGGGCGACCAAAACGAAAGCTTTAAAAAAATTCAATGACCATTACTATACTTTATCCTATTTTTTACCACATTATCCCATCGAATTTATCATTTATATATATATATATATATATATATATATTAAATTTGTTATCGTCTCAAATCGTTCTTTCAAATCAGATTTAAGTATATATATGTATGTATATATATACCGTTTTTTTTAAAGAGAATTTGAGTCCTTTGAATTAGTAAAATTCAACTTCAATATAAGCAGCCATTAAAATAAAATTCACCTAAAAAAGAAACTCGAGAAGAATGGCTGAAACTACTAACACTATTCCTACTACATCATCATCTCCGATTCCCATGATGATGGATCCTTTATCGGCAACCGCAACTCAACCACCATTATCGACAGCGAATCCAACACTGCCGCCTCTCACGGCGGAGACGATGACGATGGCAACTAGAACGTTGACACCAACACCTTCGACGAATTCCTCGATCATTCCTCAAAATAACAACCCTTCTCCTTCCATTGACCCTTCGCTTCAAAGTCAACAGCAAATCTCGCAAATTTTGTCTCCACCTCCCGCGCCTCTTACCCAACAACAACAAGCGCAGCAAAATGTTGCAGCTTTATCGAATTATCAAATCCAGCAAACCCTTCAAAGATCCGCATCTATTTCACGCATGAACCAACTCCAGCAGCAGCAGCAGCAGCAACAGCAACAGCAACTAAGCCAGCAGCAACAGAAACAACAACAAATCCAGCAGCAGCAGCAGCAACAGCAACTAAGCCAGCAGCAACTGCAGACTCAGTACAATAATGTTTTGAGACAAGGGTTATATGGGCAAATGAATTTTGGTGGGTCGGGTTCAATTCAAGCTAACCAGCAACAGAACCAGCTGAATCAGCAGCAGATGGGCAATACTAATTTATCAAGGTCGGCTTTGATGGGGCAAGGAGGTCATTTGCTCGGTGGCGCAACTGCCGCTGCTCAGTTTAGTTTGCAGTCTCCGCTTTTAGCTTCGGTATGTATGTTTCTAGATACCCTTCTTCGGAAATTTGAATTGTCTGCTATTGAAATCAACATATTTTTTCATGAAAGTGGGGAAGTAGTTTGAAATTATGCAGTTTCTACTTTAGGTAATAGTCAAGAGTTTGAATGGGATGTCTTGTTGATTCTAAATTGTTGCTTCCTCTGTTGATTTTTTTCTTTTTTGGAAATATTTTTGTCAAATTTGTTTGCAAGTGTCCGTATTGATTTTCTGAAGAATTTCAAGGTGCAACTTGGAACTTTAGGAGTTTCTTTTCTTCTTTTCCTCGCCATGTTGTTGGAATTCTTCGCATGTTTTAGTAAATGATTTAGTTGATGTTGTTGAGGTTTTACTGTCAGCTAAAGTTGGAATTCATTGATGATTGTGAAGTGTCTATTTATTTGACGAAGATAATCGTTTCCTAGTTGATGTTTACTGTTGGTTAGTGTTTTGAATCTTGGTAAGTTAAGTGTAATTGATGCTTAGGAGTGGTTTCCTAGCTTTTTGAAAGTAACAATTCATTTTTTCTACCCCTTGAGAACTTAGAAATTGCTAATGACCTGTCTTGAAGTAAACCTAATTTTTATTTCAACTTAATTGTAATGAAAGTTCTAATGGTAATAATATAACCATTGTAGGATATATTACCAGGTAGGACTTAATAGAGAGAACTTTAACTAGTTTCATGTTTTCCTTTGCTTATGGAAATTATTGGTTTTTTTCTAAAGCCCTTTAGTTTTTTTTGATTTAGCCGAGGCAGAAAGCTGGTTTGATGCAAGGATCTCAGTTTCAACCAGGAAACCCCTCTGCCCAATCTTTGCAAGGGATGCAAGCAACGGGGATGATGAATTTGAGCTCACAACTAAGGGCTAATGGTCTTTATGCTCAGCACAGGATGAATCAGGGACAGATGAGGCAGCAATTATCACAACAATCTCAACTCACATCTCCTCAGGTATTGTCTCTTAGGCTACATTGGGAAAATGCAAGATTACCCACGGTATGCTACTGTAAAAACATATATGCTATATTGGTTTTCGTTGTTGGACCTGTCTTGTTATGCCATTGCCACCTTTGAGGAAAATTTTCTGTGGGTGGGCAATGCTTAAGGGGCTTTGTCATGTTGTTTTAATGCACGTCTTCCAATTAATTTGTGCATACATATTATCTTAACAATATCTCCTCTATAAACTACAGGTTCAAAGCTTACCAAGAACATCTCAAGCCTTCATCAACTCTCAGTTATCAGGGCTGACTCAGAATGGACAGGCTGGTATGATGCAGAACTCTCTCTTGCAGCAACAGTGGTTGAAGCAAATGCCGTCCATGTCTGGTTCAGGCTCACTTTCATTCCGCCTTCAGAGGCAATCACAGGCCCTCTTGCAACAGCAACTGGCATCTTCTTCCCCTCAGTTGCACCAAAATTCCATGTCCTTGAACCCTCAACAATTGTCTCAGCTCATGCAACAGCAGTCACAAATGGGACAACCTCAAATGCAGCAGCAGCAACAACAAGTACTGCAACAACAGCAGTTACAACAACAACTTCAACAACAACAGCAACTATTGCATCAGCCCCAGCAGCTGCAGTCTCCTAGGATGTCTGGACCTGCAGTCCAGAAAACCCTCAGTTTGACAGGATCACAGCCAGATGCAACTGCATCCGGTGCAACCACACCTGGGGGAAGCTCGAGCCAAGGAACTGAAGCGACCAATCAACTTCTTGGAAAGAGAAAGATACAGGATCTGGTTTCACAGGTTTTTCCTGCTTTTAACTTTATTTTTTTGGTTCTTCTCTTAGTTCCAATGATTTTCTTCCTTCTTTTGTGGTAACTTGTGCACATTCATATTTTGGTTGTACCCAGGTTGATTCACAAGGTAAGCTTGAACCAGAAGTTGAAGATCTACTTTTGGAGTTTGCTGATGACTTCATAGACTCTGTAAGGCTCTACTTTAAAAGCTTTACCTTGATGATATTTTCCTTTCTGTGTTTGGGGTTATGGATACATGCATCTATTACTCATTTTCTTTTTAGTTTCTGGTGGTAATTAACCTCAAAAATCGTAATATAAATAAAGTCAGAGGCTTGACTATTGTTAATATAGACATGGTTAGCATTGGGGTATTTTTATGTCAAATGTAGCTCGAGTATATCAAGATATTTTTTTCTGGAATTCTTCCTGCAATGTTTTGTGTTTAACCTGGGGAAATAAAAAAATTGGGCTGACAGTGGATGCCATTTGGTACATCAATCAGCTGTTAATTAGTTGTCTTCTTTGTTTGAAACTTACACCATTTCATTCGTTTTCAGGTGACTACATTTGCATGCAGTTTGGCCAAGCATAGGAAATCATCAACATTAGAGTCCAAGGATCTCTTGCTACACTTAGGTTTGTGCTTTGACTATTTTGCATTTGTCTGGAAGAGTTGTGTTGACACGACAGTCCAACATATATTTGGTTAGTGCTCTTATTTTTTGTTAGATGGGGTAAAATTCTGGAATATCTAGGTTTTATATGATTTGAAGTTTTCCGTGACAGAAAATAAAATTTGCCTACCAAAGATAGGTGTTAAATGTTACTGGTGATCTATGATCCATGCTTAATCTTTTCCTTCCAAGATTTGCTTCTGATGAACTCTAATCTTATGTACATTTTGATAGATTATATATTACTTAAGTATTTTAAAAAAAATAGATGTTGAGTCTGAATAAGATAGCCTATTATAGTTTCTTCATCATTTAAGTGAAGCCAATGGAGCTATAATGAATGTTTAACATGGGTTATTTGCAGAGAAAAACTGGAAATTGACTATTCCAGGATTTTCAAGTGAAGAACGGAATCAAACAAGCCCAGTAAGCATTTCTGTTTGTTGTTTATAAGATGTCAGTGCTCAAAATGTCTTGGAATTTAGACTTAAATGTATGTGAATTCCAATTTCCTTTTAGGGTTATGAACTCTTAATTTAACACCTATCTTTGGTAGTCAAACTTTATTTTCTCAATATTAATCTTCAGCATTTTACTTGGCATGATATCAAAAAAATGCCCCTAACGTTTGACTAAGTAGTCTGTTGGGCCCCTATTATTTTTCTTTTTGGAGCATTATTGCCCCTAACATTTCATTTTAGGGCAAAAAAGTCCCTAATGTTGGACTAAATAGTCACTTTAGCCCTTGTTCTTTTCTTCTTTTTTATTTTTTTATTTTGACCTAATGCTTCATATAAGGGTAAAGAATCCTATATTTCAGAGCGTTGGCTGTTTGTTGACTAATAGTTTCCATCCACAGAGCAGTTTTATTGTCCCAAGATGAAATGTCAGGGTTTAAAATGCTCCAAAAAAAAAAAGAATATGAGCCAAAGTGACTATTTAATCAAACGTTAGGGACATTTTTTTGTCATTATGGCTACTTTGCATGTTAGCTTTGTCTAGCATTTGTGCTGATATTATTGGAACAACTTTTGCTTTATATGAAACTCTGATTATTTCCAAAATAAGAAAGATTACAATTGATCGTTGTATCCTGTTTTTGAAATATGCAGTTATCCAGTGACCTCCACAAGAAGCGTCTTGATATGGTGAGCGAAATTTTTAGTATAAAAGGATTAAAGCATGTCTTACTCTCCTAAAGCGTTAACTTATACTTTACCCAAATTACATGGTTAGAAAGGAGCACTGATGGAATCGTCGCAGCCCAAAGCAAATGCAAATAATCCTAAAGAAATGATAAGACAAGGTCTTGGCAACCCAGTTGATGCAACAAACCATTTATTGAGACCTTCACCGAGTTCCGAGCAGTTGGTTTCACAAGCAGGTAGTTCACAAATGCTGCAGCAAATAACTCGGTATTAAAAGCCAGTATTTGTCACTCATAATTTGGACCGATTTCAACATGGCTGTCTATCTGGATGTTTTAGGTGAGTAATGGGATTCACTTTCACTAATGATTTGTTTTTCCTCTTCCTTTTTGTAACATCCAAATGTGTATTACTGTTTACTTCTACCCATCTATGCATATGTTGTTGAGGTATTGGAGTCCATGCTTAGTATGTATCACATTTGTATGACCTTTATCAACAAGACACATTCTCTATCATGCATGCATGCATACATGCATACATACATACATATATTTATAGGGTTAGGATCCACTTACACCTGGTGTAAAACTTTTAGTTCTACAATTTTTTAGGATCTTTGTACGAGTGAAGATAGACGGTTGAAATTATCTCCTTTTTTCTTGGAAATATCTTTTCATTTCCTAGTGTTAATCTCAGCCGTCTATTCTCACTCTATCGATTCTAAAATGGTGTAAAACTAAAAAGTTTTACACACGGATCCTGTCTCTTATATATGTATATATATAATTGATGGGCTTGTCCTGGGACTCCTAGGGATCATCCAATATGCCTATCTTGCTTAACTCGGTAGGGTAGTGTTCCTAATTGAAGAAGTACCTAAATGTATTTTTCCCCGAGGATAGAAGGTATCAATCAACCAGTCAAATAGGTTAAACTCTGCTCCCGACCTTTGAATAGCATATGCCTGATGGAACAGGTGTTTCCTGACGGATCGAAAAAGAGGGAATTTGGCTGATCAGCCAACCCTACTCATCTTTGTCTACCCTGGTTCAAGCATTAGCTGACACAAGCATTTTTGACCCAACCTGTTGTCCTGCAGTCCAATGAACCAGATAGACCTTGAATCATGTCTAGCTGCTGCCCTTCCCCTAAGGACATGGTTCAATGTTGTCTTAAACCATACTATGTTCCTAAAGATTCTTGTTGACTATCAACCATTTCATAACCAGCCTTATAATCTACCTCTTTTCAGGTTACCTGAAAGCTTTTAAGATGCAGTGACAGGAGGGAAATGCTGTAAATTACTTGCCAAGTGACCAGAGACATGATGGAAGTAGTAGTGTTGGAAATGATTTTGCACCATTTGATCATCTGATTTATCAGTTCCTATCCATGATTTTAGTTGATCCCTCGTTAGGGATTTTAGTTGATCCCTCATTAGGGATTTTAGTCATGAATGTATACTAGGTTGTGAAAAGCACATTGGTTCAGTCATTTATTTTTCCATCTATTGGATTGAAAAGAAGAAATTATTCATTTCTCGTTTGATACAATGCAAATTTCACACGACTATAGTTTTTTAGTTACAATTGCAAATAATATATTTATATGATATGACTGTATTCGTATTTAATAAATATATTGCACAAATGAATATACAAACATATTCAGTAAACACCAACCAAGCTCTCTTAGTTGTTATAAATTTATTATTATTCTTTGAAATTATGGGTTCGAACACCACATATGACGGGCTCATTTTATTCGTGTAGTTACAATTATGGATGGATCGAGGAGTGGTGTTAGGATGTGATTACATTCTCTGAAATATTTAAATTCTCATATAATTTAAATATTTTCTTTATATTTTATATTGATGATTTAATTTCGAATCACACTCTTAAACTTCTAATATAACTTTTTAAATTCATATCTTAACATAAAATTTTATGTTCGTCCTTAATCAATTATCACAAAAACATGATATAAACTAATAATTATAATTATAAATAGAATCAATATATTAATATAATTATATCCATCAAATCTTTACAAAATTTCAGCCTATAATATGTTTGTACCTATATTAAAATAACTCATTCGAAGTTTCAAGTGAAATCTTGTATTGGCCAATTGTATTTTTACTGCTTTGGTTTACACCCAACTATTGATTTTTCCCTAAAATTATAATTAAAATTACAATAATATATTTATATTATTACAATAAAATATTACTACACATAATATGAAAATGAAATTGTAAGGATAATTAACACATTCATATAAATGTAATTAAAACCTGTTATAAACGATCTTGGTGGTAAGTAAAGGGTTGGAAGAATAATTAACATATTCAATATTAAATAATTGAAGATTATCTTTAGGAAGATATTATCTTGTATTTATCATATATTAATAAAAAAAAGAGTAAATTATGTCAATAGTCACATTTGTTTTCTGTTTGATTAACTTTGGTCATTGGTTCTTTTTAATTAAGAGTGCTTAATCCCTTATGTAGCCGGTCAGTTCGATTTAACCCATTAACATAAGTATGAGTTGCCAATTAAAAATAAAACACAAAAAAATCCATGTGTAAAACGCACGAGTCTTCTTCTTCCTCTTCTCGAGCTTAAACCAATAACAATAAAAAAAAATAAAACAAAACTCTTTAAGATATCCCCTGCCTTCAACCCATGCACACCGTCTTCGTCACCATATCCACCGAAACATGGTTTAGATTCATCAAGTTTATAATAACAAACGGAGATCCGTTGCTAGTCACCCGAGAAGTATCCTCGTAGCTAAGACCACCGCACCGTACTCTACTCTCCCACAACCCTTGTAAACAACAAAACACGTTGCCGATAAGCTGCTCTTTAATCTCCGGGCAAGATAATAGCCGTTGGCTTTGAAATCGTCTCATCGAATAATCGAAGGTTTTGAATCGAAAAGCTGAGAAGATTATCGTAGTCATGGTTGTGAACATCGAAAAAAGTAGTGTAGTTGTTGATATTATGACGATTAAGACACAATATTTATATTGCTCCGATCAATGGGTGCCAAGAAAGATGAGATAAACAAGTACAAGAGGAGGAAGAAGAAGAGTGGAGGATAGAAACTCGAGTTCACCATGACTGCCGTTGAAGGTAAGATTAAGAAATCTAGGAAGAGGTGCTGCGGGTTTTAATGGAATCGAGAATCGTGCTATACGTTGACGACAATGGGAAGAACACAAGATGGAACAAGAGGGAGTTGCCACATAGCCGGGAATTCTATGTTTCATAATTGAAGTTAATGCAGAAAAAAAATGACTTCCACTGCGATTTGTTTTATATTTGACAGTGCACTTTTTATTTTGGCAAAATCTGATTGTGATGAACAATATAGACCAGTTAATGAATAAGATATTATTCTGTCAACACCAGTTGTTCTTTTGAATAATATAGGCCCCAAGACTTTTCATCATTCGGATTTCATCCGTTGTGTAAAGTAGGCGGTATGTTTTCTGACTCATGACTTGGCATTCTCTTTGGTTATCATGGAAGCTACAAGGCCTTCTTTCAAAATTTCTTTTTATATTTTTGATGAAGCAGGCATGCTTCTTTGCGGGGCTTTGAAAATTATGTTATCCGTCTAATACACATGCTCTGTTTTGATTAAAAACTGTTGTCTCGGATGAATAAATCTTGACTTGAGAATCCTGTAGAACTGAATTTTTATTTTGTATCACACTTAGACTTCGAGGGCGGGGAAGGCATTCAAAATGAATCCATCTTTGAAGCTAAGAAAATGTTTGAGCATGATGTTGATGTCGAGGATTTGACAGAAGAAACTTAAACTTGTCAAGAAGAAGAAGAGGAGGAGGAGGACACGTGGTTCTCTTGATTTTTTTTTCTTTTGAATTTTTTATTTTTTAATTGACAACTCATATTTACGGTAATAGGTTAACAAAAATTAACTATCAATGGACTTAAATGGAATGAATCGATAATTTAAGGACTAAGCGTATTTAATTAAAAAATTAGTGATAAAAGTCGGTCAGATAAAATAAAGTGGACTATTGGCATAGTTTACCCTAAAAAAATTAACCAAACATTTTCAAGGGTAAACTATGTGAATAGTTCACTTTATTTTTTGTTTGACCGATTTTGGTCACCGTTTTTTAATTAAATGTGTTTGATCTCTTATGTTATCGATTCCTTCAGTTTAAGTCCTTCCGCCGTTAACTATCATTGACTCATTAAGGAAAATCTGAGTTGACAATTAAAAAAAAAAAAAACTCACTTGTTTTCTTCTTCTTCTTGGACGCTTCCATCGTTATAAGAAAATCAGGTTTCAACATCATAGCCACCCTGCTCCAAATAACCCCTGAGCTAATGATTTTTCTTCTATACAGAGATAGTACTTTCCCTTAAGCTAATTATTTTTCTGACTTTATAGACAGCTGTTGGGTAAGAACTTGACCAGCATGAGCTTGAAAGAGCTTGACGTCCTGGAGCAGCAGCTTAGTGAAGGGTTGTTATCTGTGAAGGAGAAGAAGGTTGTATGACATTTTCTCTAAATTCATCAGATCTATTCGGTTAATTACGTACTTATTTCTGGAAACAATCTGTTAACTCAAGAGGCCTTAATACAAAATCTACCATTTCTGGAACAAGTGCTTATGGAACAGCGAGAGCAATCGAGAGTACGGGTATGTCGAGTCCCACTTCGCATGTCTTTGTATTGTCTAAAAACCATGTTTTTGAACAATAAAAATGGATTCTATGCCTATGGTTATACGCTCAATTTGAAGAGAATTTGTTCTTCATAAGGAGAATACTTTATCATACTTATGTGGAGGCAAGGTCTCATGGAACCTGCAAAACATTGTCTATAAACACTTGAAGTTGCTCTAAACCGAGAATAACAAGGATGGTAGTATGCAAATGGTGGGAACCAGAAGGATGGGATGGGATGGGTGGAAAGTGGGTAATGGAAAGTGTAATGAAATTTTAATTTTTCTTTTCTTATAGATTCTTGTCGACAACATGACTATCAAAGTCTCTGGATGCAGAAGAGATTCCAAGAACCTGAGAATGTTCTTATAATAATTTTAACTGTTCAACATCAGCAAAGCAAACATTAATTTCTTTTCCTTTTCATCAAGAACAAGAAAAATTCATTTTATTGAGGATTTGAAGCTATGGGTTTGGTGACTGAATGAATGAAAGAAGTTTAGAGTTTGTCATTTGAGATGTGTAGCAAGTTTTTGGTGGGGACGGGTTTAAATTTTTTAAAAGTTTTTTAAGAGGAAGAAGAAGAAGAAGCTTTTATACTTTCCTTGACACACGTACACGTGGAATTTTTTTAATGGTCACACAACACATTCATAGGGGATTAATGAGAAAAGAATAAGCTTTTATATTTTTCTTAACATGCATACATGTGGATTTTTTTAATTCTTTAATTGTCACATAACACCTCCGTCAGAGAATTAATAAGAGTTAACCGACGAGAGACTTAAACTAGTCAGACGGACGTGAGATTTTCAGGGGATAACCACCTTCACCCGTCCCTCTCAATCCATATCCCTGGTTCTCAATATTCCCCTTAATAGTTTTAATATGTTTTGAATTTGTCGTGTTAGACATTCCTCCCCTACTCTCAATAGTTGGTCCCTCCCTAACTTATTAATCGCTCGACGGGTATCAAAAATAGTTAAGAGTCTAAAGAAACAATTATAAAGGTTTTTTTTTCACTCTTTGTATGATCCACACATTTTATTTATGAGAGTAGTCCATGTGTCAAAACATTGATCATTAACTATCATACATGATTTATTCACCTCTCTATAGATTTCACTTGCAAACCCAAAACAAAATCAAACATCACATACAATTTGCAATCATAGTAATTGTTATTATCATGAATTCAAAGAACAAGGTTTCTTTTCTTCTCCTCACCATCTTCGTCTTCCACCTCGTCCCCTGTATTGTCGTTACCGAAGCCAATCGCAATGACCCTAAACCTAATGCAGAGAATGATATTGAAACCGATGGCAAGGAGCCTAAACCTAATACAGAGAATGCCGCCGAAGCCAAAGGCAACGAGCCTAATCCTAATACAAAGAAGTTTTGTGTGCCCAAAGATCAAGCTTCCAATGCTGATTTGCAGAAAGCCTTAGATTGGGCATGCGGCCAAGGCATTGATTGCAATCCGATTAAGCCGGGTAGCCCTTGTGGTAACCCACCCACTGTCAAGTCCCGTGCAAAATTCGCCATGACTTCTTACTACCGGTCTAAAGAAGGAGATCTTAAAGCTTGTGATTTTAGTGGAACTGCTACTCTCGTCGCCGAGGATCCAAGTAAGCTCAAAAATATTTGGTCAAATTTTGCTTTTA